TGATCCCCATGTGAACTAAAGAAAAAACGATGCATAATCACACACGCACACATATCTTGTTGGATCAACAACAATTATGTTTCTCACGCCAAGCATTTATCCTCTATAGGTGGAAATTGTTGTACACTTGAACACATATCTTTGAAACTGATGCATACCAAGTTATGAAAAAAGAAATTTTGCAAACATAGTTGACTAAATCAACGAAACACATCAACTAACAAAGTACACACTCGCAAAAAAATAGAGCTAGATATGCTCGTATGCACGTACAACACACACAAACAGTGCCATGTCTTCCCAGAGAGGAAACAACGTCAACCTGCTACAACTTCATGCAGGATACATCACTGCATACTCAACATGGATTCATTAGGTAGCCGGCCTTGAAATGCAAGTGCCGTGCTGGATGACCATGAGACAAATCGATGAGAGATGGCTGCCCGCGCGGACTGCCCACGAGCGAGGCGATGGACTTCTTGTGCGGAGGGAGAAGGCTAAGATGGTGGTCGCTCCGGAGGGCAGGTCGCGGCGCCATAGCAGACGGTGCATTGGCCGCACAGGCAGCATTGGATTGCCCAGAAACTTCAACACTGCCTCCCAACTCCGGTCTAACAGCGCCGGCGACCTTGGATTGCAACGATGGCGTGTCTTAAAATCACATACCGACGGCATCGGGGGATCGGCCGGTCACGCGCCGGAGCTTGGTTGCAGCAGGCGACATTAGGACGAGTCCTGGGGGCGCGGCGACCGGATCAGGCCGGAGGCAGCGCAGCAGCCGGACCAAAGGGCCAGGGGCGTGGCGGCAGCCGGACCCGGAGGCGGGGGTGTGGGATCCTGGTGGTGGGTGGCAGTGAGCGGCATTGGGGCTAGAGGATCCAGCAAAGGAGGGGCGTCGCCGTGCTCGCCGAGGCTGTTCGGGCTGGAGGATCCAACAGAGGGAGGGGCGCCGCCGCGCTCGCCAGGAGGAGGTGGGGGCGGCGGCCTCGCGCCGGACGAGGCGGGGCCCGCTGCGGCGGGAGGCGCATCGGGACCCGGGGCGGTGGCTTCGCGCTGGAGGAGGCGGGGCGGCGGCGCGCCCGTAGAAGGCGGGGCCGGCGTCGCGCCCGGAAGGAGGCGCGCCGGAGAAAGGTGTGCGGTGGCTGGAGGTCGTGGGAGCGGGGGAAGGTGGGCGACAGGATAAGAGGTCGGGGCTTTGGGCTTTTTCTGTTTGCTCGCCCGATCTCAGTAACGTCCCATCGGGCCTTTATAGGACGCTCCGTGATCCAAATAACTATTCTGATCCCAGGATCAGAATAGTGTCACTATATATATGTTGCTGTTCTAAGAATGATCATGATGTCCTCATTTCCGTATTTTATTTTTATCGATACCTCTATATCTAAACATGTGGACATATTTTTCGATTTTGGCTTTCGCTTGATGACAAGCGAGGTCTAAGCTTGGGGGAGTTGATACGTCCATTTTGCATCATGCTTTTATATCGATATTTATTGCATTATGGGCTGTTATTACACATTATGTCACAATACTTATGCCTATTCTCTCTTATTTTACAAGGTTTACATAAAGAGGGAGAATGCCGGCAGCTGGAATTCTGGGCTGGAAAAGGAGCAAATATTAGAGACCTACTCTGCACAGCTCCAAAAGTCCTGAAACTTCACGGAAGTTATTTCCAGAATATATAAAAAATAATGAGCACAAGAAGTACTAGAGAGGGGCCACCCACCAGCCACGAGGGTGGAGGGCGCGCCCCTGCCTCATGGGCCCCCTAGTGGCCCTCTAATGCCCATCTTCTGCTATATGGAGTCTTTCGTCGAGAAAAAAAATCATAAGCAAGCTTTCGGGACAAGACTCCGCCGCCACGAGGCGGAACCAATCTAGGGCTCCGGCAGAGCTGTTCTGCCGGGGACACTTCCCCCCGGCATGGGGAAATCATCACCATCGTCATCACCAACGATCCTCTCATCGGGAGGGAGTCAATCTCCATCAACATCTTCACCAGCATCATGTCATCTCAAACCCTAGTTCATCTCTTGTATCCAATCTTTGTATCCAAACCTCAGATTGATACCTGTGGGTTGCTAGTAGTGTTGATTACTCCTAGTAGTTGATGCTAGTTGGTTTACTTGGTGTAAGATCATATGTTTAAATCCATTATGCATATTAATACCCCTCTGATTATGAACATGAATATGCTTTGTGAGTATTTACGTTTGTTCCTGAGGACATGAGAGAAGTCTTGCTATTAGTAGTCATGTGAATTTGATATTCGTTCGATATTTTGATGAGATGTATGTTGTCATCCCTCTAGTGGTGTCATGTGAACGTCGACTACATGACACTTCACCATTGTTTGTGCCTAGAAGGAGGCATTGGGAAGTAATAAGTAGATGATGGGTTGCTAGAGTGACAGAAGCTTAAACCCTAGTTTATGTGTTGCTTCGTAAGGAGCTGATTTAGATTCATATGTTTCATGCTATGATTAGGTTTACCTTAATACTTCTGTTGTAGTTGTAGATGCTTGCAATGGGGGTTAATCACAAGTGGGATGCTTGTCCAAGTAAGGACAACACCCAAGCACTGGTCCACCCACATATCAAATTATCAAAGTACCGAACGCGAATCATATGAACGTGATGAAATCTAACTTGACGCTAATTCCCATGTGTCCTCGGGAGCGCTTTCCTTCATATAAGAGTTTGTGCAGGCTTGTCCTTTGCTACAAAAAGGATTGGGCCATCTTGTTGCACCTTATTTACTTTTGTTACTTGCTACTCGTTACAAATCACCTTATCACAAAACTATCTGTTACCGATAATTTCAGTGCTTGCAGAGAATACCTTGCTGAAAACCGCTTATCATTTCCTTCTGCTCCTCGTTGGGTTCGACATTCTTACTTATCGAAAAGGCTACGATAGATCTCCTGCACTTGTGGGTCATCAAGGATGTGGCGTGCAATGGTGTTAGAGTAGGCAGACGCCGGAGTAGACGTGGCGCGTTGACCCGCTTATATATAATGTTTTAACCCGTTGCAATGCACGGGCATCTCTACTACTATAGTACACCAATTTTCCAACTTTATTAGCCAGCCACAGTGATGCAGAAGAATTTGTTAGCCGTTGACTTCTTCCACGGAATAAATCACCGTCATTTATCAATGTTGAACCGAATTGATCCAACGGCCATGATTTGTGGGATTCGCTCCGCACGGCCGTGCGCCAAAACGAGGTAGGGGTGGCGGGGCCGTCTTTCTAGAGTTAACCGCAGCTGGCATCTGACAAACCTGACATAAAGTAACTTTCACGTGAGGAGCTTCTCGCCTACAAAGTTCATTCCCGGAACTTTCTAGAGTTAAACGCAGGGACAGTTCACTTGAGGAGCTTCCAGTCTACACAGTTCATGTTCGACAACTTTCACATGGGTAGCTAGCTTAATGTTATGAACTGGCCCTGTTATAAGTGTAGGCTATAGGATCTAAACAAGTATGTGCGAAGAAGCTAGCAGCCTATATTAATGCCATAGCAATTTGCTTCTCGCATGAGTAATGTTGAATGCATGCACATAAGTATTTTTGTTTTTCTACAAAAAATTAGTAGACTGTAGAAAAAATTGTAAGCATGGCAATATTCTTGTTCACTTGAGAGAAATATTCAAACGACCCGAAGGATAGATTTACATTTTATTTTAATTTTCTTAATGGGACGTTACGTGACTTAAAGCGTCGTGTGGTTGAGAACGCACAAATGATATAGGTTTAGTAAGAAAACGCACGGTTTGGAAAGGTGAAAATTATAACATCAAACTAATTTTATCTATATTTTAAGTTTGAATTTGAAAAAATAAAAGATTTCACAAACACGTCAATAGCATTTCTTTCTGGAATAAAATCATTTTTTTCTAATGCACTCTTCATATAAAAATTCATTGTGCTACCGTGATTTGATACGAATTGTAAACAACAATCCACGAGTTCCCAGCATGATAATTTTATGATAACACATGATATTTACTTATAATTTAAATGATTTAGTACTGTGATCACACATACTAATCTAACTTGCAAAGCACATACAAATTACTAGTATTTACTATTGTGTGTGTGTGTATGAAAGCAAAAATATAGGTCACAGGACCATAAAAATTGCATTTCGTGTATATTTTGCATTATATTTTTACATTTATAATTTTACATAATATAAATATTTTACACAATGATTATATATTTTCTTACATTCTCTTTTTACGTCTAAAATAAGACAAAATTGACGGAACATAAAATTACAACATGTTGATGTTAAAATAAAGGGATGAAGAATAACTATTACTCGTCGACCAAGACATTCTATATGGACTTGTGTCTGTGACTTCTGTTGATCATGGGCTTGTTTGGACTTTCATTGGTCATGTTTGACTTGTGTTGACCAGACGCCGTGTAAAACTAGTTAGGACGTGGTATGTTCTAAGAAAAAAGGTAGGACGTGGTACGATTTAACTATTCCATCAACACAATTTCAGTGGCATATTAGTCAAATTTGAACATGAAATCAAAAGTTGTACATCCCAAGTTAACAACATTTTTGTACGGAAGGGGAAACGATCCTTTATGCAACATAATGGGTCTTATTCATATCACCGATCTTACCTAGTTAATAAGTGTTTGCATGAATTATTTTGCGGCTTATTGAGATCGCAGTAGCACTCCCTCCGTTTCTTTTTAGTCTGTATATAAGGTTTGGTCAAAGTCAAGCTTTGTAAAGTTTAACTAATTTTATATTAAAAAATAAAACATTGACAATATGAAATCAATATTATCAGATGCATCATGAAATGTATTTTCATACTATATAATTTTAATATTCTAGATGTTCATATTTTTTTATATAAATTTGGTCAAACTTTGGGTAGTTTGACTTTGACCAAATCTTATATGCAGAGTAAAAAGAAACGGAGAGAGTACTAGATACGTATGCAGGCATGAATATGCATTCCGTCTTTAATTAATTGTTGAAACTTAGAGGGTACACCGGCGACTTATCGGGGCCGTTGAACAGCCCAAAGTTCTTCTCCGTCTCATCGCCGTCCTTTTGGTTCTCGTTGAACATGGCGAAGATGTACGTCTCCAGCGGCCCGGGCCTCTTTGGCGTTCCATTGCCGACGTGGTTGATCAGATTCTGGTTGTACGCCTGCGCATTTCCGACGCTCGCCTCGACGCCGCCTGCCGACGGCCACCCACTCTCCGAGACCACGATGGGCACGACGGCTGCGCCCACCTTCTCCATCGCAGTGTACATTGCGTCGACCATGGCATCGAAGAGGTTGATGTAGGTGAGGCCGTTGTCGCTCACCGTCGTGGCGCTCTGCTGGAAGAGCGCGTAGCTGAGGTCGATGGTGGGGTCACCCTTTTTGGCGAAGTAAGGGTACACGTTGGCAAGGAGCGGCGCGCCGGTGGTCTTGAGCAGCTGGGCCACGTCCGTCATGTACGCGTCCTTGAACGTGCCGTCGGAGGGCGGCGAGGAGGACGCGAGCACGCTCATCTTGACCGCGGTGGACACCTTGACGTCGCCGCGGCCGGCCGCGGCGAGCGCGTCGTTGAGGTTCTTCATGGCCGGGAGGATGTTCTGCGTGTCGTCGCCGTCCACCTCGTTGCCGGCTGCGATGTACTTGACGCGGACGCCCGGGTAGGCGAGCACGTTGTCCCGGACCCAGCCGGCCGCGGCGGTTGGGTCGGAGGCGAGGGCGGCGAGGTCACCGTTGCCCACGTCCATCATGAGGTCGATGCCGGTGCCGTCGAGGGCCCGGAGCGTCTCGGGGTCCGGCGCGTAGATGCGCATGGCGCCGATGCCCTGGGACTGGTAGAACTGTACCACGTCGGCCCGCGACGGCAGGTTGTCGCCGAGCATCCCGTTGCACACGCCGATGGATTGCACCACTGCACACGATAACATTGCGAATAATCAGTCATAGACTCCTAGTCTGACACTGGTGATCAACGGGGTCGTGCAGGTTGGTAGCTTACCGGTAAGGATGGGTGCGAAGACTCCGACGACCAACGCCGCGGCGAGCGCCGAGGCAGCATTTTGCCGTGCCATCTTCGAGCAGCTGGCTGACTCTCCTCAGGTAGCTACGAAACAGTTGGAGCACGTACTCTACTCCTTTGGCATGCAACTGTACCATGCAGACGCGGCCTATATATACATACAGGATTCAGAAAAGTTTGGTGAGTTGCAAGTTCGTAGTTGGTCAATTCTCGTTCCTGACTTCAAAGCTGGTTCCACTCTATAGGTAGCCAGGTGCCCAGGTGTGTGGTGCGACCGTGCGTACATGAGTCCGAGTTCCAAACTTCCAACTGTCCAACGCAACCAGCTGCCTTCGAGACCCTGCACCAGTCGAGCTCCGAGAGAATTGTCACGTTCATATTTTTCCCACCTCATTGTTCCGTTCGTAACACAACTTTTTTCTAAGACAGTACATACATAGACGATCATAATTCATACATAAGCACATATATCTTTGTCTTTAGGGGAAAGCTTCCGAACAGCCGGCCGATTTTATATATGCGTCCAGCACGCAATGTGCCGTGGGATGACACTGATCACGTCTTTTATGTTGGGCAGTGCAAGTAGGAATTTGGATTGCAGCGTCCTCGGTAAGTTTTTTTTCTGAAACAACACATGTGTTTCAAAAGTTATTTCTGTAACAATACATGCGTTGCAAAAAGGTGAAAACTGCAAACAGAAATTCTGCAAGATCACTTATGTTGCAAAAAAAAAATCTATAAACAAGACGTCTGTTGCAAAAAAAAATCTGTAACAATACCTGTATTGCAAAAAACAATCCGCTACACAACCAATGTTGCAAATGTTTTCGCAACAAGATCGTTGTTGCGAAGTAGAGAAATACTTTCACCCGTTAGATTGCGCCAGATTCGACTGCTCGTGAGGCGACGGATTTTTTTTAAAAGATCTGTCGACCAACGCATAGCAGCCCTCTTATCTTTACCTCTTTATCTTTACTTTAATAGTAATACAGTGCCTAATGCCTAGCGCTTCTGGCGGTCCATCCAAAACAATACCCCCAAAGTTATTTTAATTTACCCACTATGCCATCCATCAGTGAAAAAAACGATTCGATTTTTCGGATGAAAAGTCACCATCGTACTTCGTTGTTTCATAGAGGTGAGACCGATATAAGCCACAGATCCACAAGCAGCGGAGTGGTTGACACATATCTCCTTCGACCCCCAGCTTCCACACTTTTTAACTGGCTTTTCTCACGCGTGTCCTCTCCATGTATGTGTTTATCAGCCGACCCATGTGCGGGGCTTCACTCCCCTGTTTTTTTTCATTCTGTTTTGTTGTCTTTTCTTTTCTCATTATGCTTTGTTTCTTCTTTAAGTTAATTTGGGAATTTCAAATATTTACAGTTCGAGTTTTCAAAAAGAAGTTTGAGAAATCATAAAATATACGTAAATTCAAAAAATATTTACGAAATCATAACATTTTCACAGACTCAAAAAGTGTTAGTGGTTTTGCAAAACTGTTTGCAAATTATAAAAAAAACACGATTTGGAAAAAATGGTCGGGAAATAAAACCATGTTCATGATTTTGGAAAAATGATAATATATCCAAAACATATTCAAGAATCTGAAAAAAATGTCCATGAAATTTTAGAAATGTTTGCAAAACTAAAAATAAATAATTAAAAAATCACCAATTTTGCAAAAAGTTCATCCATTCAAAAAAAATTGTTGAGTCAAAAAATGTTAATGAATTTGAAAAATAGTCATGCAGTTAAAAATGCTCGTAAACAAAACTAATGTTCGTTATTCTTTTTTGAGAAAATCTAACATTTCAAAAAAAGTATTTGTTGATTCAAAAAGCTGTTCACCAAATCAAAAGTCTTTTATGTCTAGGATTTGATTAGTGTTTCAAAAATCTTTATATTTCTGGGTGTTGGCAGTAGTTCGTGGTCGATGAGATTTGTTTATAAAGTTTTAAACATACCCTTGCGCAACATAATGACAAGTGTGGCATGCATTGGCAAACTCATAGCCTTGGGATTTACCATGTCAAATATATTGTGATCATGTGGACATCGCGACCATCATCTGCGAGAGAAAAAAAAGTAAGTGGCAACATGGTGAGCCACTGTGTTAAAATAGAGTACACTCATATATCAAGGTATTGAGTCATACTTATTTGGTTAGCGCATAATTTTTTTGTCTCTCATTGCAACGCACGGGCAACATAATGACAAGTGTTCATGCACTAGCAAGCTCATAGCCTAGGGATTTGCCACGTCAAATGCATTATGCTCACGGGGGCATTGCGACCATCATCGTCGAGGATGAGAAAAAGAAGTAAGTGGCAACATGGTGAGCCATTGTCGCTAGGTGGGATGCGTTGCAGGCGGGTCTCATACAAAGAGTTCGGGACGACTGAAACATCAATGCGTGAATGGACAAAGATTCCCTCCACTCTAACAATATCTCCCCTGACCCCCTGATCGTCAAAGTACTTTCTGTTTGTGGAAGCTTTATCTTCACAAGTCTTGGGGGTTCAAGAAAGTGGTGATAGAAAACGTTTTCCCGGAAGCTTTATTGTCGAAGCACCTATGTTTTTTAGAGATGGGAGAGCTAGCTAGTAGTTTTGATTCTTTTTGCTTGTTTTTCGAGACAATTTTGATGCTTTTGTTGTTCAGCATGTAATGCGGTCAGCTAATGGTCCAGCGCACTTGTGCGACAAGCATGCTTGCAGTTTGCCTGTGTCTGAAAGCTAGCTGCTCGAGACACCTAGCTTCCTGACTAGTAGCCTTCGTTTGAGTAAACTCTAAATATTCCCGTCGAAATATTAACAAAGTATTGTATGTTTCCATACATAAGGTCATCTAATTCATGGCAACACATTACCACTATTGTCTGTTTCACGTATTGTCACAGTAGTGGCATACCACACTTCCTTAGCAACATGTCCCGTATGTCATATACATATACTTTTGTCAAATCTTATTACACTTGTGACCTAATTTATTCATCACACTTTTTATGGCATGCCACAACTTAGTAACAAAAGTGCGGTAAAGTTCGTTTAATAACCAAACATGTCCATAGCGCACACCTAGAGTAAGCAAGTAAAGTAAACGTGTTGACCCAAAACAAGCTCCCCGTAGAAACTGGCAAGAAAGAACGGCATTTCCTATTTAGCGCTGCAGGCATCAGTTATAGCTGTTTCCGCAAACCGGCGCCTGCAGCCGCGTTAGCTGGGCCTGGCCCATCTTTTCCTTTCCTTCCTGTCGTGAGGACAAAAAAAAAAAGGAGCGCTTTCAATTGGAATCGATCCCACAACCTCGCTGTTGTTTGGCTCACGCACTAACCACCCCACTACCTCGCATTAGTTGCTAATCTTCTGCTTCTTCGCCATTTTCCTCTTATAACTATTCCTTTTTCCTTTTTATTTGGAACGATTTTGTTATGTTTTTTGTTTTTTTCTTTTTCTTTCTTTTCGGAACGTTTTTTATTTTTTCTTTTGCTAATTTGAAATAACGTTTTTTTTAAATTGTTGAACTCTTTTTCAAAATCGGTGAACCTTCTTTCACAATCGGTGAACTTTCTTTCACGGTCGATGAACTCTTTTTCAGAATCGATGAACTTTTTTCTAGTTCGATGAACTTTTTTTCTAAATTGATGAACTTTTTTCAAAACCGATGAACTCTTTTCACAATCCATAAACTTTTTTCAGAATCGATGAACTTTTTTCAAAATCGATGAACTTTTTTTCCAAATTGATGAACTCTTTTTCAAAACCAATGAACTCTTTTCACAACCCATGAACTTTTTTTTCAAAATTGATGAACTCTTTTTCAAAATCCGTGAACTGTTTTTTGAAATCAATGAACTTTTTTCAAAATCAGTGAACTCTTTTCCAAATAGGTGAACCTTTTTCAAAATTGATGACCTTATTTCAAAATAACTTTTTCCCCAAAAACAATGATTTTTTTGGTTAAAATCGATGAGCTTGTTTTTTTAAAAAGAATAAAAAAATTATATTTGTTATAAGGTAATGTTTTACTAAAGGAAACATTAACTAGGACGGTTTTCTTTGTAGTACGCAGAAGAGCTAGGATGGTCAAGTGGTTATGGCGACTGCTGATTGCGTCGTCAACTGGGCTGGAAGTTTGATGCTCAAGGATGGATAATTTGGCTGGAAGGAGAAGCTCCAGCCTTAATTTAAGCGATGCCATCGTATGCTTTGTACCCAATCTTTTTTTTATAGGAGCTTTGTACCTAACTTTTTTTTTATGGGAGCTTTGTACCCAACCTGATCTTGTGTGATCAGTTGACAATTAAAATGATCTTGTGTGATCGATAGGGACGCGGATTGTCTGACGTACGGGCTCACACACTGACATGTGGGCCCAGACCCACCCGTCAGTGACCCAACGTGAGGGGTCGTACGTTAGGGGATTCGGCTCCGATCGATACTAGCGAGCACACAAATTGACTTAGTTTGTGCCCTTCGCTGGCTGAACTAGCCATGTGTCTTCATGTCTCTCGGCTGATTGTTTTGTTTGTTATAGGAAGGAAGAAACTAGTTTAAGTACAGCCTGCTCAACGGCATGGTGCATATATAGCTTTCACGCCTGCATGCAAAACAAACTCACGCTTTTTTTGGGATATATACTTATTTACGACCAATATTTTTCTTGATTGCAGTCAGTTAATTAATAGTATTTGCTTGAATTAATGCATTGCATGTGAAAGGGGATGTACCTCAATTGGTAGAGCGCTAATCAATGTGGAATAGAGGCACAGGGTTCAATTCC